GCGCTCCACGAAACGCTGAAGCACGGGTGGCTGTAGCGTGTGCAAAGAACATCCCCTTCGCGTATACTGTTTAGGGTTTTGAGAGGACAGGCCGCAAACGCAGAGATGCAGATTTACACGCGGTTTACACCTTGGCGCCGAAAACGGACCCTCCCGCTCTAAACCAAAAATAGCTATCAACCCTAAACCATGCATATGTAATGCACTTGCATCCCTGAGCCACACATCGCGAAACGGAGAGGCCCCGAACTCCAAACTTCACCTGGACTTACTCGCCCTATTGGGGGTGGCTGGGGGTTTAGCTACCTTGTTTGAGCCACGTCCCTGGGAGTTCTCTGCACGGAGCGCCGCGATTGGCTCAAATGGTGCTGGAACCGGGGTTTAAAAAATACAGGGGGGGCACCCACGCCAGGCTACTTACAGTTGAACGGATATTTGACCAGACCCGAACAACGTTTAGATCTCTCTTGGTGTTGCCCCCAGGTGAATACCAGGGTCTCTTTGCCACCCAACTCCATCACTTCGCTGTCTCTGGGGCAACTAGGGTTGGGGTTCAGGCTTGGTAGGTTTATCGGTCAACAAGGTGAGTGTGTAGGGATGGAGAGTCTGGAGCTAAGGCAATGGACCCTTTCTGTCACATTCCCATGCACGTAATGTGCATGGACGCGGAACCTTGTAGGAGCTCTGAAGCGCAGCATCACAAGACCTCTTGTGAATCCCCTGCTGAAGAGGTTGCCCCCTGAATGCCTGAACCCGAATGTAGCTTAGACTTTCTCCAGGGTCCTTGCGTAAGACTGCACGGCATCTTCCTGAATGAAGGATCAGCTTTAGGCTCGAGCAAGGCCGGTTAAGTCCCTAGAAGCGCTACAGGTATGAAGGCTCTAAGGACTCTCACTTTCCATACTAGATAAGGTTCTTGAGCTACATTGCGCCTATGCGGAACAGTTACCGCTGCGTGAACCAGCTCCTTCGTCACTCGAATACAGGGCCGTGAGATTATTGGAAGATTTGTCTCTGGCCTTGACGCACGTTCGCAAAAATGGCATGCCCATTTTGGGCAATGATACAGAAGCCACGGTGCGCACCAATGCTCATCCATCTTGCGGGACCTCCGTGCGGATTGGGTTTTTATAAATGTGCAAATTATGAAGTCAACTGCGTACTGGCTCCGGGTCTCTCTCTCTCTCTCTCTCTCTCTCTCTCGCTCTCTCTATCTCTCTCACGCTTGCTTCGTGTAGGACAAGAACTTGGCGACTGCTTGACTGAGATGACAATCTCCCCAGCAGCTATGCGTCCTAACCATTGGTGCCCTAAAAGGTGTCAGCCTATCTTCCCCCACCAAGTATAACTGTACCTATACCTGTACTGACAACCATATTAGGGCACTTAAGGGGCTGATAAATGGGTTATAAGTACAGTTATAGTTGGTTTATAAGTACCATGAACCTCCAAGTAAACCTTTCTTCCAACCCCGGCTCCTCTCTCAATCCCTGAACTCAAAGAACCCTGAGGGCGCGTTGATGCACAAACTGGGGGGCCCAACCCTTGCCTGGCCTGAAACTATCCTTTGACTCTCCAACGAACGTCATGAAACTGATTAAGTTTTCTGTTGTCTGAGTTTAGGCCTAAACTCTAAAAGGAATCGGTTTGGGTGGCTTTGCCGCCTTGGACGGCGTGGGGTGGGAGAAAAGTGTTAGATGGCACTCCACACTCGGGCCAAAGCTGCTCTTCGCACCTCACGAAGCTTTCGAGCTTGTTCCGAAACCTAACCTTTACAGCATCTACGCCCTATCACAGCAAACCCTAAACCCTAAACCCTAAACCCTAAACCCTAAACCCTATAAACCCTAAACTGTCCTGGAATCTCTTGAAAGCCGGGCTGGGGTTTGCCCTTAATCGAACCCAGGCTCTTGCCCCAAACCCTGCTCAACCCTAAACCCTAAACCCTAAACCCTGAACCCTAAACCCTAAACCCTAAACCCTAAACCCTAAACCCTAAATCCTAAACCCTGAACCCTGAACCCTGAACCGAACCCTGAGCCTTTTCAGGGTTTCAAGTGTACAGGGCTCAGAAGGAGCCAGCCCTCACCGAGCCCGAGCCCCGGGCACTCACCAGGAGCTGCGTGGCTTCGCGCACCTTGCAAGCGCATAAGGGGCTGTTCAGGGTTTAGGGTTTTGGGTTTTGGGTTTAGGGTTTAGGGTTAGGGTTTAGGGTTTGGGGTTTGGGGTTTGGGGTTTAGGGTTCAGTGTGTAGGGTTTTTGGGGTTCAAGTTTTAGAGTGGAGGGCGTACGGGCTTCCGGGTGCAGACCTAGTCAAGGAGTTCAAGGTTACAGTGCTTCGAGCTTGAGGCCTAATGACCTTCAGAACCCCATGTCTTGGGTTACGAACCTGCAAAATCAACAGAAGGCCATGAACGAACACAATGGGCATACAGGGCCGTTTACAGCTCATTCATTGGCAGTTTTGGGATTCGCCTTGTCCTATCCGGGCGTTTGCGGATCAGGACCCCTGTCTCTCCACAGACGGATGGGGATCCAAACCGGTTAAGGCCGGGGGCCCCTTCTAAAGACATGAAACTTCTGAAGGTGGAAACGATAGGTCAGTGCCGGCAAAAAGGCACGCCATGCAACTTGAGCCCTATAGACCCAACCCTAAGCCCTAAACCCCAAAGCCCAAACCCTAAACCCTAAACCTCAACCCTACTACTACAAGCGCAGCTTCTGGGAAGCGCTTGAACCACATCCGAGAGGATGCCAAGGATACTTCAGGTGCCTCGTCGATGGCCAGACAGATGGAATCTTACGAGATACCCCCCCCCCTGTTCGGCACCCAACACGCCAGAAGAAATGACCACTGGGGGAACTGGGTCCGCCCCTGCCGAGGGTTTAGGGTTTAGGGTTTAGGGCTAGGGTTTAGGGTTTAGAGTTCAGGGATCGTCTTTTTTATTTCACTCCTCAAGCCCCCCATCGCAACTCGCTTCTCAGCGCCCCGGCGTGTCGCAAGGTCCGCCTTCTTCGCCGCAGCGCCCGGTGTCCGTACTTCGAGTGGGAGCCCTGGCGTCTTATCTTGGCTGCACTCAGGAGGGTAGCTGTAAATTACACTTTTAGCTGCCTTACTAAGAAACCCAAGAAACCCAAAAAAGGTAAGGATCTAAAGCTACGGTAAAGTACCACAAAGTCATGTGTGTATACTTCTAAGCCCCCTAAGTGCCCTAATATGGTTATAGGTCCGGTGCGGTTACAAGTACAGCTATAGTTGGTCAAGAAGTACCATGAACCTCCAAGTATACGCATACACTGACATGTGTTAAAGTCATTCTAATTAGTATATATACATATATATACATATATCATCTATTTACTTCATTGAAAAAACGGTAGTATAGTATAGTAATCCACGTCTAGGGATTTACGCGTTTGGGTTCTGCTTCCTAAACATCCCGCCGCCCTTGAACCGTACATGTTTTAAACGGAAAAAGCGCGTTTCGTATAGGTAAAATGCTGGGATAAGAGCCTCTCTTGAACGTGAATTCGTCTCAAAAAATGAGAACACGCTATCTTTCGAAGTTTCTGCGCGTTTTCGTGGCTTGGGGCTTGGGGGGATGCAAGCTGCGTCTGGAGGGTACGACATGTTTGGCCTAGCACTGTGAGGGTTTAGGGTTTAGGGTTAAGGGTTTAGGGTTCAGGGTTCAGGGTTTAGGGGCAAGCACGGTGTTTGGCGGGCTGTCTTGATTGTACAAGATTCGTGGCTTTCTGTAGTTTGCTTCTTTCAAGTGTTTTGGGCATGGCCGCTAATTTGCATGGGCGCTACTAACCCCCCTCCCCCCCCATAGAAAGAAATGCAGAAAGAAAGAACCAAAAAATAAGGAAGGACAAATAAATAAAGACATAACGAACGACATGCATGACACCAAACAAGAATAGGCATGAAAAAAGCAAACAGATCGAATAAGCAAATATACAATGGAGGTTCTGGGCTTGAGGGTGTGGGTTCATCGGGTTCATTTGGTTAAGGTCGGCAGTAGGCAGGAACAGTATAACTCCCCACCACCACCACCCCTCTCAACCCACCCCCCCCCAAGATCCAGGAAATCGGTCAAACACCCCCTAGATCCTAATCGCTTCCCCCTAATACTAAACCCCCCCCCCTAATTTTAAATATCATTTTTCCCGGACCCTGCCGGCACCCAGCTCAATACTAAACCTGTTTGAGAATTGGGGGGGGGAGGGGTTCAGGGCCTTCGCCCTTGAGTTGAGCCATTAGGGTTTCAGGGTTTAGGGCTGAAGGCTGACAGGGTTAGGACCCAGGGCTCAGGGCTTCAGGTTTTAGGATTTAGACCCCCCCAAATTTCAATATTTTTCGGGCCCAGGCGAACTTCAGAATTAGGGAGGGGGGTGGGAGGGATTTAGTATTAGGCGGGGTTTAGGGTTTAGGGTAACCCTAAACCCTAAACCCACGGGTTCAGGGTTCAGGGGTTTGGGTAGGAATTTGCGCCTGTGACAGGGATGCCAGCAATTGACACCTGGGAGGTGCATGGCTCAAGTGGCAGTGAGGATGCTTGGCTACATGATCCTCCACGAAGTCTGGTGGCCCGATGGCCCCTATCGTAGGCCACCCTAAACCCTAAACCCTAAACACTAAACCCTAAACCCTAAACCCTAAACCCAGAATTAATCGGCAACCTCAGCAACAATCTGAAGATGTCAGTCCCAGCCAGTGCATCATCGCGTCGACCCATCTGCTTGACTGGCGCTACCCCTCCAAATCGAACAACGCAGGTCCGAGAATGCTCTTCTTCCTTTTGACGGAAAGCACTCACTTCCGGCAAGCCTTAAAGCGGGCAGGATGTGTGGAGTCTTGTGCTCGACACGAAGCTCCAGCACCCGGTTGAAGCTTTCAGACATCCGCATGCTGCGGGGTCTGTCGGAATAGTGCCTCGGCTCCACTACGAAGCTCTGTATCGCAACGATCCGATGCCCTAGCTCGCTCAGCGGGCTCACTAATCTCTCATCGAGAACAAGGGCACGTCGTGGCTGCGAGTCCTGGCAGGCTGCAGGCTGATTCTCGCACAAGGAGACAAACCTCTCTGGCAAACATGGAAGTCTGGCCGAAAAAACTTGGTTCTGTTCCCTGTCCCATGCATGTCCCTTAGGAAGGGACAGAGGAAGGAGAGAGAGGGGGAGAGAGATGCTTCCCCCACAGGCCGAACCTCCAACCATGAAGCATGGTGCCCCCAAACCTTAAGCCAAAAGTTGGCAACCCAAGCATTGGCTCCGTAACCCTAAAACCCTGAACCCTAAACCATCAACCCTACACCCTAAACACCCGCAAATCCACGACCCGAGGTCCAGAATCGCATCTAACCCTCAGCTTGAAATCCAAATAAAAACCATACCTTAGGGAGCTCAACATATAGGCTTTGTAGGGTTTAGGGTTCACGGAGTTTTATCATTAAAGATTTTATCACGGCTGTGGGACCCCCAAACCCCCCAAAACCAAACAGAGTCTTATCCCCATGCGAGCCTGGGGAATGAGGCCTTCCGCTGGGGCACGCCGGCAGGTCCGTCATCCTTAATCTCGCCTGGGGTGAATGAGGGACTGTAGGTTCGGTTCTTCGGGGGTAATTTGGGTTGAGGGTTTGAGGCGCGGGTGTCTCGAGTCTATAGACCATTAAGGGGGAATTAATCGGACATTGTGCCAGCGCAGACCCGCAACAGTCAGAGACCATGGGGACACGAAAGAACACTCCAATGGTTAAAGAACGCACAAAAATGGCACCAACAAATCGATGACAGTTTTCCACTTGGCGAACCCAGATGTGCAAAAGCGACGACAGTTTCGCATTTCGCGAACCCAAAGGCCCTAAAGCAATGACAGTTCACATTTCGCGAACCCAGAAGCCAAAAAAAAATGCCGGTATCGAGGACGGCGAGCACGGGCACCCTCCCTGTAGGCAGCAGTACGATTCGAACCCTAAACCCTAAACCCGCAAACCTAAACCCTAAACCCTAGCCCAAAATTGAAACAACTGGTGACACAATTATCTATCACCAAGACTTCCCAAGTCTGTGAAAGGCAGGAAAAGCTCCAGAATTTCTTTTATGGGGTTGCATACAATATCGATACGTTTCAGGGATACGAGTGTAGATACGAATACATTTCCAGCACATGATGGATACGAACTGGATACCATCTAGAATACAAGGGGCGATACGCAGGTGAATGCATCGAGGAAACTCGCCAATTCTCCAAGCATACACTTCAAATACGATTTGAATACGATTTGGATACGATTTGAATACGATTTGAATACGATTGAAATCGATTTGAATACGATTTGAATACGATTCGGATACGATTTGGCCACGCTGATTGCAGCTTTGAAAAACACAACTCCAATATGATTCCAATACAGAGGTGCCTGGTGGAGCATTCTTGCACAGCTTCTGCTGCTCATGTGAATCATGCAGCATGTCATGGAAAAAATCGTATTCAACCCTGTATTCGGGCCTGTATTAGGCATTGTACAAAAACTTGTATTGGGGACCATATCTAAACCATATCCACAGCGCATTCCCAAACGCAAGCTTGCCTCAGGAAGCGTATTTAGCTTGTGAGACGGAAATGTATCCGAACCATAACAAGAAAATAATGGCCTGATGCTTCCCATACTACTTGGGAAGTCTTGGATCTATCAGTGATCAGTGGTCGATGTCAGGTCAATCCCTAAACAGGGTCTCTCGGGGACTTATTTCTGAGTTTGCATGCCAAGCGTCTCATTAAGAGCTGCTCCACGACGTCCTGTCCCGGAAACCACCCAAACCCTAAACCCCAAACCCCAAACCCTAAACCCTAAACCCTAAACCCTAACCCTAAACTCCTAAACCAGTGGAAGCCCTGAACCACCAGTCGCCAGGAGAACATGTATTCGGTTTGGGGTATCCGAGTAATTCCCAACAACCTTCCACAACAGATGGATCCCTAAACCCTGTAAACCCCCCCCCCAGTGGGCTTCTTGGGCTCACACTTCCTGAACTCCTGAAAGTAGCATGAAGCAATACCCTAAACGCTAAACCCTAAACCCTAAACCCTGAACCCTAAACCCAATCTAGAGTGGAGGCCGCCTCACACCTGGCCCCGAAACCTTCGAACCTTCAGCATTAAAAGGTTTGGGGTTTCGGGTTTAGGGACCCCAAACCACCCTGAACCCTGAACAATAAATAATCCCAAGGAGCGTTCATAGTGACAATGCCCAGGGCATGTGCTCCGGGGCTGGCATACGGACTCGGGATCCTGGGGCAAGAAGAGGAGGGGCATGGAGGACAGAAAGGGGGTGGCTTTCTTGGGGTTCTTGGGGGTGTCGTGGCGTGATCTTCAAACCCTAAACTTTAGGCCCTAACCCTCTCCTTTTCGCATCACCCAGGCCCATGAGACTGCCTAAACCCTAAACCCTAAACCCTAAATCTGCAAGCTGCAAGCCGAAGCGCTCAGTGGCATGA